TCCTTCCCTTTTCATTCTAAAGCTGTAGGGCAAGAATCTTAAAGCTTTCCACTGCTTCAGACTTCTCTCTTAGGAACTGAACCCATGTGTACCTTGAAAAATCATCTACCAACACAAGGATGTACTTCTTCCCATTGATACTTTCCATTTGTACTGGACCCATGAGATCTATATGAATCAGCTCAAGTATTTTTTTAGTTTCAATTTCAAGTACCTTCTTATAATTGACCTTGATCTGCTTTCCTTTGTTACATACATTGCATACAGACTCCAGTTTGTCAGCCAGTTTTGGTACACCTCAAACCACTCCAGCGTTCACAATCTTAATCAGGGTCTGAACGTTCATGTGTCCAAGTCTCTTGTGCCACAGCTCCAGATCATTAACAGACACAGACAAACAGATATCTGATGCCTTCCACATGTAGCAGTTATTGCCTGAGCGCACCCCACACAGTACAGTGTTTCCATTTTCATCAACAGCTTGACAATCAGTCCTAGTGAAGATTACTTTCAGACCATCATCGTACAGCTGACTTATGCTAATCAAATTTTCTTTTAAGCCTTCAACGTAGTACACATTTATCAGTGATGGTTGATCATCACATTCGATGTTTCCTTTGCCTCTTATACGTCCTTTACCACCATCACCAAATGTAACTTTTCCACTGGCCTCTTCTGTGAAGGTTGACAGAACACTTGAATCACCTGTCATGTGTCTTGAGCAGCCACTGTCAAAGTACCAAGGGTTATTTGCAGTTCCATCTGTAGATGTGTAAGCTACCTTTGCAGTGAACTCCTCATCTTTATCAGACTCATCCAGTTGTACAATCGTCACGTTACAGGTCAGACTGATTTCTTCAGATTCAGAGACTGCTTTGTTGTACTGTTTCTCATCATGCTCTGAATCTTTGTTGTATAGGTCTATCTTGCGGACCCAGACTTTACCAAACTTGGATGGTTCAATAAAGCATTTCCGTGCTTGCCACAATTGCTTGATCTTGTCTTGAAACTTATAACAAGACCTTCTGATATGACCTGGTTTTCCACAATAGAAACATTCAAACACTTTTCGACCTCTGTTTGACCTGGTCCACTTCTTTCTGGATGCAGTCTTCATGTATTGTACAGCCGTATTATTGTTTGTACAGCATAGGTTCAACTTCACCATCACTATCTGATTCAGACTCACTGAAGCTCAACAAAGATTTCTCTTTACCTTTCTGTGAACTTGGACATTCTGATTTTACATGACCAAATCCATTACACTCATAGCACTTCAGCTCCTTGCGTCTTGCAACAGGACATTCAGGTCGAGTATGTCCTATACCTCCACACTCGTGACATTTCAGATCACGTTTCCTTCCTGATGATTCGCTCCTTACAGGCCTGCTGCCTGACTTTTCAGCATCACTTCTGTTCCAGCGACTGATCTCTCTTGTGTCCCTGCTGTCTCTTTCCTTACCCTCTTTAACCTGTTTCAAAGCTTTTCCGAAATTTTTGGCCATGAGAGACAGATTGTCTCTGATTTCTTGCAGCAGATCTGGACCCCTTTCTTCATCAGCTTTGACCGCTATTCCTAGGCCTGGGCAAAATACCCGGAACCGAATACCCGAACCGAAAAACCCGAACAATACCCGAACCGAACCCGAACCCGATTTTTAAAAATACCCGAATGGGTCCTAACCTCCTACCCGAAAAAAACCCGAACCGAACCCAAACCGAATACAATACCCAAATGTACCCGAATACAAATATACTCCTAAAAATATTAGTTATTTTTATATTTATAATACCCGAAATACCTAAAATTACAATTATAAATCCGAATATATTAGGTATTTTAGATATTTTTGGTTATATTTGGGTAAAGAGTAACCAATGTATTTTCGAGAAATCGGGTATTTCCGTTAGATTTGGGTATATATGAGTTAAAAACCCGAACCCGACCCGAAGCCGAAAATATTCCGGGTATTTTTGGTTATTTTCGGGTATTTTGCTTTTTTATTAAAATACCCGAACCGACCCGAACCCGAACCGAACCCGAACCAAATTTTTAGAATACCCGAATGGGTCTTGACCCCCTACCCGAATAGACCCGATACCCGAAAAAAAAGAACCGAACCCGAACGGGTACCCGAATGCCCAGACCTAGCTATTCCTTTGTTCTGGTTTCGTTGATCTTCAGCAACTTCCATCTCTTCAGACTTTAGAATCCCAACCAGATCTTCATATTTCAGGGTATCTGTGTTTCCTGAAACTCTCATGATAGCTTTGTGTGCAGCGTATTTCGGTGGTAGGCAACGAAGCATCTTCTTCACCAGCTTTTTCTCCTTGTACGTTTTCCCTAATGATTTTGCTTCGTTTGCAATCCCACTCAGCTTAGAACTGAACTGAACAATTGTTTCTGAAGGATCCATCTTCAGATTTTCAAAGTCTGTAGCCAACTGGTCCAGCCTGGTGCGTTTTACACCAGTGTTGCCCTCATGGGTTTTCTGCAGAATATCCCATATCTGTTTAGCATTCTCACTTCCTTGAACCAGATTGAATTCATCATCATCAAGGCATGAATAGATAGCATTCATAGCCCTTGCATTGAACTTGGATAAATTCTTTTCTGCATCAGTCCAGTTAGCTTTTGGTTTCTTCACTTTCAGACCGTCTTCTGTTGTGCTAAACGGAGGTTCCCAGCCATCTTCAACTGCAGTCCAGGCGTCCTCTCCCTGTCCTCTGATTAACTGCATCATCCGAGTTTTCCAGTGACCGTAGCCTCTGTGATCCAGCATCACCGGTCTGTTGAGTTCTGCCTTCGACATCTCTAATCTGCAGGATCTTAACCTGTATTGAGTTAGTACTCAGGTCGGTCACCCGCTCTGATACCAATTGTTATTATATAGATGTTGAGACAATTGAAAAGAACTTCTTTTCCTTTATTAAGAATCACTTAAACAATCTACAAGATATGTTTAATCAGATTTACATGACGTTGACACAACTCGTCACTGACCAATTCTTAATCTACCCAAACTCACAACACAGCAACAGCTATGCATACACTCTGTTCACTCACCAAGAACCCTAACAGCTTCTAGCCTAGTATTTGAGATTCACAGAGATAGTCTAAACGCCCACCTAAACCTAAAGTCTAGACTGCGAATATAAAGGAAGCGTCATAGACAACTTTCCTAATCTTCATATCACACCAAATCTTCTTTCCTTGATTTGATCGTATCTTCAATACACCGAATAACTTGAGCATCACGTTCTGGTAACTTCCAATCACCAATCACTGCTCGCCACGTCATCTTCATTTAATGTCTCGCAGTTTCCCGCATACAGCTCTCTCCTGTGTTCCACAGGATCTTCCTGTAGCCCGACATCCATATGTCTTCAAGAAGGAGTACAGTATTTTATTTCACCAAACCGGATATTAAAAAACATGAGTATATACCGGTTCTAATCATACCAATTGGGTCTATTAGTTGTGGTTTGACTTCGTCGTTTTGATTTTCTTTTTGTTGTCAACCAACCACCGTGCTCAAAAAAAATCCAGTATATATCGGTGTTGACTGTTGATGAGCTTCGACTTTTAGTATTTACCAAAAATAAATCTGCAAAATTATTAATTACAGGAGTATCTTTTAAGTCATGAATGTACAGTAAAACCTTTATAAATTAATAACCTCTCTAAATTAATAAATTCTTCCGATGCCGAGTTGGGACCAGTGTAAAATATGACATAAATCGATAAATTAATAAGATAATATTTTTTTTGAAAATCTCATGTAAACCTATGGTCCCATCTATATTATAAATTAATAATTGTATAAACTTATCAATATATATGTATGTTTAACTTAATATATATATGATATAAATATATATATATATATGTGTCATATATGAATTACTATGATATATATTTAAAATATATGCAAAAAAATTAATAAAATATGACTATATTATTCAGAAAAAGTTTGTGTTGTTTTTTATACTTAATAATTGCTTCTCTACTTGCAATTGGTTTTAAAAAGATATTGCTTATAAAAAAAATTATTTTTAAATAGAAATTATTAAGAAATTATATTATTAAAATCTCTCTATAAATTAATAATTATTAATTTATAGATAAATTAATACCTTTCTAAATTAATAAAATTTCATGGTCCCAACATTATTAATTTATAGAGTTTTTACTGTATTTAGTTTGACTAGTGTTTTTTATAAAGAAGTTATGACTATTTTATCTGCTAGAGCATTAAATCAAATTCATCATTTGGCTTTTTACTGTCTTACTGGTACCAATAAGATTTAAGGTTAGTATTATTATAATCATATCCAAGTCATACGATAATATTAGCACTTACAGTTTCTGATAATTTTATGTTTATAAAATATCTTTTTTGATAAAGATTTACTTCAAAACCCTATACGAGTATCTTCAAGGACTTTCTCTGTAAATTTCGGGTTTGTAACGTATTTAATTTTATCAAAAAAATGAAACGTGCACTGTAAATTTCTCTGTAAAATTTTATCAAAAAACAAAAACGTATTTCATTTTCACGTGCACTGTAATATATGTGTGAGGAAAACTCATATAAGATGGAGAAAAAAAGAAAAGAAAAGAAAGGTATGTAAGATAGATACTCTTTTTACATGTAAGTCGAGAAAAAGAGAAGAATCCAAGTCGGCAAGGTCCATGTGTAAGCCTCGGGAATACAAATACTTGTCCCACAGTGCGATCCAGAGTTCCTGCTACACACGTGTGAAGTCCTACTTGGCGCCACGTCAGGATTCATTGCATGGGAAATTTGAGGTTGATAACTGATACTAATATCATCTCCATTGCTTGGAGAAGTCTCAACTCGAAGAGGTACGCAGTTACACACGGTGAGATTTGTGGATGTGATTATTAAAGTATTTTTATTTTTATTAGCACTACTGTCTACTAACTACTAGCTAGTGTCTCGCTGATTTTGGAGATGACCGCATTTTTAGATTGAACTTTTATAATACTGTAGTAGTATCTACAAATTCGCTTTTACTGCACTAAACTCGAAAATCGAATATTTTAAATAAACTGTTTTCGGACAGTGAGAATCAAATTCTGAGATCACATACATTACGGTGGAACTAAGACGTTTGCGAATTACACTTGGTTCATCCAAAATTTAGTACAAATATGATGCTGTAATATACTGATATACATGTATATACTTATTATTAGTATAGATATTATAAGATTCGTATATATCAGAGATCAATCAAATATGTTAAGATTAGATTCTCTACCTCTTGTATAAATATGAGACCATATGTGAATAAGAAAGTATCGGTTCATAATCTTTCTATATGGTATCAGAGCACTTCTGATCAAAACCCTAAATTTTTTCTCTTCTTCTTCTCTTCCGCCGCCGATCTCTTGTCTCTCTCTCTCTTTGTCTATAATGGCAATTGAACCTTCAACTCCTTCTTCTTCAACAGAATTGGCTCCAATCTTTAACGCATCTGAACCACAAAAGACTTTGATCTCTCTCAATATATCTAACATCACCAAGCTAACGCAAAACAACTACATCACATGGCGTCTTCAAATTCGTTCTCTTCTTGAAGCCCATGAACTCCACGTCTTCATCGGCGAGGACGATCTGACACCACCACCAACAATCACCATCGACAACACTGCAAATCAAACAAATCCAAAGTTCACAGCTTGGATCCGTCAAGATAAGCTCCTCTTAAGCGCCATACTCGGGTCACTTTCTCTCCCTGTTCAAGCTCTTGTTGCTAGAGCCACCACCACCCGTGGTATGTGGGAAACTCTCCATCGTACGTACGGCAATGCTTCTCGGAGTCACATAAAAATCATCAAAGATCAAATCAAAGCCAGCACCAAAGGAAGCAAATCCATCATCGAATACATGAGAGGCATCCTTGAAAAATCTGACCAACTAGCATTGCTTGGAGCTCCTCTTCCACATGAAGACCTCCTTGAACACATCACTGATGGCCTTGGAGATGACTACAGAGCAGTCACAGAGATGGTGAACGGACGAGACACACCAATCTCAATTGAAGAACTTCATGAGAAGCTCATCAACCGATACTTTCTTATTCACATATGGTCTCATATTTATAGAAGAGGTAGAGAATCTAATCTTAACATAGTTGATTGATCTCTGATATATACGAATCTTATAATATCTATACTAATACTTATATAGTAGTAGTAGGAGTATACAGTATTTTTTTAACAATGCATTTGATTAACTTTGACCAACATAACCAATTAATTATCATCTCTAACTTTTATGTAACGGAAGTTTACTTAAGTTGCTCCTTTACTTTTATGTAACGGATTATTTGATTTTTCATCGATTTCAACCAATAACAAAACCAGCTACTACACTCCTCTTAAATAGAAACATATTCCTAAACTAGTCTCCTCGGTTCGGAATCTTTTAATTGTTAAAAGAGAATTAACCATATGGTTAAAGTATTATAAAAATTACTATATATATATACATGTATATACATTAAAACCAATATGTAAATGCATTAAACGATGTGCTTTATGAATCGAAGGAAATATGTGAAATAATGTCACCATTGTTCTTCCCATTTTAGGGCGAATTTTATAACAGAAGCTCGTTGGTACTTTAGGTTTAGCCGTAGCCATAGGTATTGGTTGTTATCAAGAATGCCGTGTTCACTTCATCATGAACATCTCAAGTTAACAACATGTATTTTATGCCACTAATCAGTTGTATATAAGTTTATTTATTTAAATTTCTGAAAAGAGTAAGAAAAGTGTGCTGGAATTTGTAACAGCGTCACTGTTATTATTTGTCATTTCATTAGAAAGATCATAGATATAACATTGCTTATCTTACCTTTATTTTTACTTCCATTGGTTATCTTATCTCTAATCCATAACAATACAAACTTCTTTTAGCATATGAAAGCAAAAAGTAGTAATAATTAAGATGGAGTTATTTTAAAAAATATATCCAAAACTTGAAAATTTGAAAATATATCCAAAACTTGCAAATACTGTAAAACTTTTTGAAAAAAAATCCTTAAAGTTATTATATTTTACACAAGATAAAATTTTGAATTTGTGTAAATGGAATTTCTTTGATAATTCGGTTTCAAAATGGTAACGTTCGATTTGAATATGTTTAAAATATTAAGTATACAAGTATACAACCATATTCAAACACAAAAATCATCATTATTGAAAGTTTAAGATAAATGAAAAATATATGATCGGACAATCCATTAACTGTCAATCTAGAGAATTAAAATGGTGCTTTGACAGTTTTAACTATATAAAGAAACACAAATTGCGTGAGTATTAGGTCTATTTTGACTGAGAAACAATTAAACGAAGTATTAATTAACTACTAAAATAATAAATCAATAAAATAGTATAAGATTCACGTATAAGTCATGTTTAAAAGGGAATAAAACAAAATATTTTACATTTCTTTTTAGATCTTGAGGTCCACAGTTCCACATTCGTACCAACACCCCAAGTGGTTCTTTAGAGAGAGAGGGCGTGAGAGAGATTTAAAAGTTTCTCTTTGGGCATTACAATTTTTTTGGTGAACATAGAAACACTCAAAACTTAAAACAGAAAAATATGGGAGAGGTTCAAGAAAATCCCAAACTCTCATATCATCTTTTCAAATCTCCATGAATAATAATACTCCCTCTGTTTCAAAACAAGTGTCATTGTAGAGAAATTTTTTTGTTACAAAACAAGTGTCGTTTTCGACTTTCAATGCAAAATTTATTAATTTTAAAGTGCAGTTTATTTTTCTATTGGTTGAAATGTGGTTAGGTGTATAGGTAATTGTGTTTTTGTATAGAAAATATGTAAAATTAATTGTTTTCTTAATTTGTGTGAAAAGTCCAAAGATGACATTTTTTATGAAACAAATGGAGTAATAATAATGATTTTGTTCTAATTAGACTCTATTTTTTTGTTTTGGTTTTAGGAAGAGAAGAAACCAGAAGCAGCAGACAGGGCCGGTCATGGACATAGCCAAATGAAATATTCGCCTAGGACCCCCGATTTTTTAGTTACAAAATAGGCCCCTAATTTTACAAAATACGCCCCTAATTTTGATATCTCTGTGTTTGTATTCTCAGGTCCCCGCAAGGAACTGTTCTAAAAAGTAAAGCAATCTTTAATCAGAAAGCTCCTAAAGTTGCTTCCTTCTCTTCTCGCGGTCCAAATACTATTGCGGTTGATATTCTAAAGGTAAAACATTTTTGTGCTCTTGATTATTTATTTTATTTCCTGGCCTGAGAGACAATGGTTGGTGGTGTGTATTGCAGCCAGATGTAACACCACCAGGAGTGGAGATTCTCGCTGCGTATTCACCTTTGAATTCACCATCTGAGGTATGGTTTGATAAAAGACATGTGAAGTACTCTGTTCTGTCCGGAACTTCGATGGCTTGTCCACACGTTGCAGGCGTGGCTGCGTACATCAAGACTTTTCATCCTGAATGGTCTCCTTCCATGATCCAATCTGCCATCATGACAACTGGTAAACAAGTCATATACATCTTTTACTTTCTTGTCTTGCAAAACTCATATCCAGCTTTTACTATCTTGTCTTGCAAATAACTGTTCATAAACAGTCTATTAATTAATCTTTGCAGCTTGGCGGATGAATGCTACCGGAACCGGGGTTGCATCAACCGAGTTTTCTTATGGAGCAGGACATGTCGACCCAATAGCCGCTCTTAATCCCGGACTCGTATATGAATTAGACAAAACAGACCACATCGTATTACAATCTGAGATTGAAGGAGAGAGACGGTGGAGAGTTTATTAAAACTTTCTTATTTCTTTCCTTAAGGAATAAAAGCTGTACAATGTTCTCTTATATATAAGTATTCTAACTTAACCAAAGAATGAAATTAAGCTATACATTATGCTATACCAACTAAACCGAAGTAAACCAAAACTAAGAGGATCTATACTCCAATAGTCCCCCTCAAGATGAGAATATGTTGAGAATACTCATCTTGGACAATAAATGAGCAAACTGGTAAGGGAATAGAGGTTTAGTAAGGATATCTGCCACTTGATCCTCTGTTTTAACATGAAGCATCTTAAGAAGACCCTTGTCCAGCTTCTCCCGAACTGTATGACAATCGACTTCTATATGTTTGGTGCGTTCATGAAATACAGGGTTAGTGGCTATGTAGATAGCTGCGGTGCTGTCAGAGAACAGAACAGGAACCGCACCAGTGTTAATCTTCAAATCAGAGAGCAAAATAGCTAACCATGATATTTCACATGATGCCAAAGCCAATGCTCTATACTCTGCCTCTGCTGAAGACCGAGAAATAGTAGGCTGCTTCTTGGACCGCCAAGAGATTAAAGAGGAGCCAACAAACATAGAGAATCCTGTTGTTGATCGGCGACTATCTTGACATGAAGCCCAATCAGAATCAGCATATCCTTTAAGAGTGAGGTCAGAGTCCGATGAATAGAACAAACCTTGGCCAATAGTCCCTTTGATATATTGCAGAACCTTATAGACTGCAGTGAGATGTGCAGTCCTTGGAGCTGAGGAAAACTGGCAGAGTTTGTTCACAGCAAAAGTTATATCCGGACGAGTAATCGTCAAATACATAAGTCGTCCCACAAGACTTCTATATTGCTCCTTGTTATCCAAAAGCTCACCATCAGTCTTTGATAACTTGAGATTTGGAATCATAGGAATAGAAGACGGTTTACAAGCTAGCATACCAGTGGATGCAAGTAACTCCAGGGCATACTTTCTTTGACAAATTGATATACCTTCAGATGTTCTTGCTATTTCCAACCCCAAGAAGTATTTGAGAGGACCTAAATCCCTCAGTTTGAAACTAGCTTTTAAAGCATCTGTTAATTGTGTTGCAGCACCTTCTGTTGTGCTTGCAATGACAATGTCATCCACATAAACAAGAATAGCAAGAAAATCAGACCCACTGCACCTGACAAATAAGGTATGATCTCCATGTCCTTTGATAAAACCCATCTTCAACAAACACTCAGAGAACTTCAAAAACCATTGCCTGGAAGCCTGCTTTAAACCATAAATGGATTTCTTAAGGCGACAGACTGCATTCTTGGGAAACAAGTCCCCCTTACTCTTTGCATACCCTTCAGGCAACCTCATATATATATCCTCCTGCAAATCTCCATTTAAGAAAGCATTAGATATGTCAAGCTGAGTCAGAAACCATTTCTTAGAAGCTGAGATTTTCAAAAGCAACTTGACTGTAGCCATTTTAGCAACCGGAGAGAAGGTCTCATTGTAGTCTAAACCCTCTTTCTGAGTCTATCCCTTGGCAACAAGACGCGCTTTGTATCTTTCCAAACTTCCATCAGCAAAAAACTTTAATGTGAAAACCCATTTGCATCCAACCGCTTTCTTTCCCGGAGGTAAACTAGTAACTTCCCAAGTATCCGTATCTTCCATGTATTGAACCAAGTGAAGAGAAAGATCTCCATAAGATTGCCTCAGAATATGATTGAGGGATTGGAATTTGAGTAATATGATTTATGTATGATAGATGAGATGGGGTGATTTGTGAATAAGAGAGAGATGATGAAATGGGATAAGTGATTTCAGTGTTTAGAGAATAACAGTGATAATCTTTGAAATGAGCAGGAAGTTTTCTAGCGCTTTGTGGAGAAATTTGTGTTGATGGAGAAATTTGTGGGGGAGGAGATGAGAAAATGGTACCTGAAGGCAAAGAATCCTTTGGTATGAGCAATTCTGAATGTTTCTCTTTGGCCATGGGAAACACATCTTCACAAAACTTAACATTACGGGAAATGAAAACCCGATGACTTTCCAAATCCATAACCTTATAGCCTTTGTAGCCTGCAGGATAACCCAAGAAGATACAAGCTTTGGACCTAGGCAAGAACTTGTGACGCTGTTTTGGTGAAGTGGAACAATAGCAAAGACAGCCAAAAGTACGTATTTGATCATATAGAGGCTTCTTACCAGTGAGAATCTCAAATGGAGTCCTGTTTGAAAGCATTTGTGATGGTGTTCTATTAATGAGAAACACAGCCGTCAAAATGCAGTCACCCCAAAGAGATATATCCACCTGAGATTGAAACATTAGTGATCTTGCAACATTAAGTATATGTTGGTGTTTTCTTTCAACAACCGAATTCTGTTCAGGTGTCTCGGGACATGAATGATAAGAGACAATGCCTTTAGCCTGATAGAAGTCGGAGAACTTTAATTCTTGTGCATTGTCAGAACGTATAGCCTTTACTTTCGCATTAAACTGATTCTCTACTTGATTGATGAATGCAGGGAAAACAGTTAAAACCTCTGATTTTGATTTGAGCAGATAAACCCAAGTAGCTCTGGAGTGGTCATCTACTATGGTTAAGAAATATTTAAAACCTTCCAAAGTTTCCACTGAAAATGGTCCCCAAATGTCGATATGTAATAACTCAAAAGTTGAATTACATATATTGTTTGAAGAAGGAAAGGACAACTTCTTTTGTTTAGCCAAGTGGCAAACATGACAATAAGATGATCCCTTATTCTTATGCCTAGTAGTCCCCAAAGCCTCTGATATTGCATCCAATCTTGAATAAGACGGATGACCAAGCCTCTTGTGCCATACATTAATGTCCACCACCGCATTGACCAATACTGAAGGAGGAGGAACTGTATCAAGCACATAGAGATTCCCAAGGCGTCTAACTTTTCCAATGATCGATCCCCTGGTTAGATCCTGTATTTCACAACAATGTGGATCAAAAATCACTCTGGAGCCAAGAGAAGTTGTCAAGGAGCTGATACTGATAAGATTCAAGCGGAATTCAGGTATAAACAGAACATTTTGAAGTTGTATGTCTGTAGTAAGCTGAATAGTTCCCACTCCACTGATCTTAACAGTAGGGCCTGTAGGAAGATTCACATAACTCACAATAGAAGTATCAATGGAGATAAATAACTTTCTATCATGAGAGACACGATGAGTAGCACCAGAGTCTACCACCCATGTCTCATTGGAAAGAGTATGTTGAGCAACATTCAGAATTCCAATAAAACAATAGGTAGAAGGAGAAAATGAGATACCAGAGTAATCAACTGCAGCATGAGAAGGACCTGCATCATTTGTAGAAATTATGGAAGAAGGCTGTAACTTATCACTGAAGAAAGCAATGAAATTCTGAAGTTGATCTTTAGACAGGTTACCAATCAAGCTCTCAAGATTGGGATTCTGAGCAACAGGTTGAGGAGATAAAGCAACCTGAGCAGCAATGATAGGTGATTTCTGAAGCTTGTCAGGTATTTTTCCCTTAAAACCTGGTGGATAGCCATGCTTCTTATAGCACCTCTCAGCAATGTGTCCAACTTTGTTGCAGAAAGAGCAGATAGGACGACCCTTATTTGGTCCTTGCTGCACATAGCAAACCATTTGTGGATCACCAGAAGAGTCATCTGTAACAGAAGCAATCTTTGAAACCTGAAAAGCAGCTGGATGAGCAACAACTAGAGAGAAATTCTTCTGACTGTCATCTTGGTCAAGAATGTTGTAAACTTCCACCAAAGAGGGAAGAGCTTTCTTAGCAATTATTTGTCTTCTGACAATTGCATAAGATTCATTCAGACCTGCGAAGAACTTAACAATTTTACCTCTCTCAGCTTTCTGTTGTAGTCTGGCTGCCTTACCACAAGTGCAAGGTTCATCTAAAGCTTCTGCACTATCAAGATGATCCCAAAGGATTTTCAGTTGAGTAAAATAGTCAGACAGAGACATGGTACCCTAACGAAGATCCTGAATCTCCTGTGTGAGATTATACGTGCGTGGTAAGTTGGTCATATGAAATCGACCATAAATATCACTCCATATAGAACTCGCATCACCTATACGCAAGATACTGCGATAGATCGGAGGAGAAACAGTATTTAAAATCCAGGACTTAAACATGCTGTTGCATCTGGACCATACACGAAAATGTTTATCTGATTCTAGAGGACGTGGCAAACTACCATCAATAAAACCAGATTTGTTCTTCGCATCAAGAGCAATAAGCATAGCAGTACTCCAATCATCAAAGTTTGTACCGTCTAAGCGATTAGAAACAAGGATCAAACCTGGATGATCAGCGCTATGCATAAAAAATGGAGAATGCATCGGATCCATCAAATCTGGTAGCGGAACACCTCCGGAAGCTTCAGAAGCATGAGAAACAGCAGCGGTAGGAGAGATCGGAGGAGAAACAACCATACCAGTAGATCGAGACGCTTTTCGTGAGATGGAGCTCGTCGACACCTTCGCACGAGCTGATTTTCGAGTAACGCGAACCCCAGGCACCATCGAAACCTTGATAGAACGATGATGAAGAAGGATCGAAGAAGAAAACAAAGATCAGATCGAAAAACTAGAGGAATTTTGAGCTGGATTGCTCTGATACCATATTACAATCTGAGATTGAAGGAGAGAGACGGTGGAGAGTTTATTAGAAACTTCCTTATTTCTTTCCTTAAGGAATAAAAGCTGTACAATGTTCTCTTATATACAAGTATTCTAACTTAACCAAAGAATGAAATTAAGCTATACATTGTGCTATACCAACTAAACCGAAGTAAACCAAAACTAAGAGGATCTATACTCCAATACATCGCCTTTCTTTGCGGTTTGAACTACTCTTCAAAAACCCTTCAGCTCATCGCCGGTGAAGACGTCACTTGCACTAGAAAGAGCTTACCAAGAAACCTCAAATATCCTTCAATGTCGGCTAAACTTTCGGAATCTAATAGCTCCTTCACCGTGACATTCAACAGACCCTTGACCAACCTTGGTACCCCAAACTCAACATACAAATCAAAGATTGTCATAAATCACGGATCTAAA